ACCTGGACACACCGCACGTCGCGGAAGCCGCGGCCTCATCTGCTGCAGTCGCGTTTGTTGTTTTTTTTTATTGGCTTTATATCGTTTGGACGAATTGCGTTATTGTTAATACGATAATATAATATATATATATATAGTTGCAGAGACTGAGTGAGAGAGTAAACTGCGGCATGTATGGAATAATAATATATATAATATAGATCATCGATGCGAATTGATCGATTATGGCACACCGCACACCGCCTATTATACTCGTGCATTGTTGTCGCAGTACATTATTGTAAGATATTTTTATAGCGTCCATGCCAGTAAACCAAAAATTAATCGTATTTAAGTATACTGACGAACACGTGAGCGTGCCATATTATGCACCTATAATAGGTGATTTCATTTTCGTAAGCAAGTGACCAGAGCGACCGTGTCTATGAAATGGATGGCTGGCCACTGAATTAGAGCTTGTGCCTAAATATTGTTATATTAGATCATAATATTTATATTATTCTCAGTGGAAAATAAGGTCTGACCCGACTTTTCACGCATTCCTTTCCGTATTATCAATATAATCTGGTAAAATCTTTCTCTGGATGACTGGATCCGCTAATAGCGTAGTTATCAGCTAACATCTACTCAGTGCCGACGCAACAATTATTTCCACCCTCGGCGAAACCATTTCTTTGCGCCCCTCTACCAATTTGAATTATATTAATATCGTTGAGGACCCCCCCCCCTTAAATCAGGCACCTCATGTGAAGGACCTGATCACTCACCCCCGCCGGCACTTAACCTACTAACTACTGTGGTTATATACCCAAGGGCTAAGGCCGTAACTGAAACAAATTTAACTGTGGTCCAATATTTCATATTTGTATATAGCTGATAGATACAGTATCCAAGATACTGGACATTCATCATTGTTACGTTTAAAATATAAAAACTCTTTATTTTCTTTATTACTGCTTTTACAAAAATATAAAATTGTTCTTAATACAATAATAGTCGATAAACAATATTCACAGCTAAAAAAAATAATGTCGGGGGTCCAAGCCTCCTAGTTATGACATATAGGTTATAAACCTGCTAAACCTATACATTTGCATCTAAAAAAATAATTATCATAAAAACATATTTGAACATGAACAAATGAACAATAAAACGTTAAACACGCTGACATAGTACCACGTACTGGTAATTACTAATTACTAATGAATACAATATAATAGGTATTACGAGTACTATTATTTCAAGTGTTTATTTGTACTGCTGTTCTCGTTCTGTATTTAAAATATTATACTCAGCCACAGTGTACATTAAAATTAATAACAAAAAATACGGATTCTGGTAAGATTTTATAACTACTGCAAAGACCGGGGGCAAACCATACTTACAATTTTGCCCCTAACCCTCATAATAATACACAGCCGGTGGCGCCTACTTCCATTTTTACCATGGTAAACTTGCAGAGGTGTCAAGCATATTTCAAAAAAGTTGTAGCCTGTGCTAATAATATGCTTATTGAAATGAAGCCAAGAAAAATGTTATTGGTTAGGTGCTTTTGCCATCAGTCACCACCTCCACCATAAGCCCTAATTTCAACCCAGAGTTTCAGTTGACAACATTGTTCACTTCCTGTGTGTAACACTAGATTCCCGAATTAAGATATAACATCCTTGTACTACATCAGTCATTGACTCGGAAAAAGAAATCTGAAAATTAAATTATCAAATTAAAAACCGCAATGCTATCTATCGACAAACGTAAACTGAAGTTTTGGGCACGAGTTGGAAAATTCAACCACGACAGTTTTCAGCTATTATGAAAGTATCAAACTATATTATCAGGGGGTATGAACTTATACCTATTGAAAACCGTTCTTTAATTGTAGTTGTAGAGATTAACAGAAAAGCTCTAGTAGTCGGTTTTTAATTTTTATAATATTATATATTTATTATATTATAATTTTTATTATAGTATCATAATTTCATAAGTCCATAGCGGCATGGCGTTATTTTTTTTAAATTTTATTTAATAATATCGATGGAGAACGGAAGGTTTTCATTTTAATTTCTGACAATAATTCGGGAGATAGAAACCATAGCGCTATAATCGCAGAACCAACGTTATACTTGGTTTGGTGTGTTGGCGTGTAGGTGCGTCAATTAATAATTATTAGCACTCTCCGAACTTAATAATCATGTTAGTGTCCTGTAGATTTTAAATATTTGCTATTTCCAAGTATTAATTAATGAACTTAATATTTTTAAGTTATAAGTAGACCTCAATTATTGAAATCACTAAATCAGTAAAAATGATTAAAAATATTAAGTTCATTAATTAATACTTGGAAATATCAAATAAATACGAAACTGTACTTATAGTTATCAACCCATGAATACTATTATATTTTATTATTGCTTACAATATATTAATATTATGTACAATTTATAAATATTATATTTTTTATTGTGTACTTACAATATAATAGTTTAACTTAATCTGACGTTTGTTATACCAATCGATTAATATATCCACGTCTAGCCAGCGGGTAATTATAATAATATTAAGTACCTATAATATATTGTAAGTACACAATAAAAACATAAAATATTAATAAATTGTACATAATAGTAAAATATAATATTAATAATAAAATATAATATCATTCATGGGTTGATAACTATAATTGCAGTTTCGTACATCCAATGTAACGTTCTTAATTACTATCATTTCTTAATAAAAGTGAACTTATTTATTTGTTTTTTATTTTACTGTAATGTGTTGATTGGTGATTTTGCAATATTTACTCCACTATTGATTGTTTAAAATGGAAACTAATAGGAAGGGAGGTGCTGAGAAAATCATAGAGAGAGAAAAAGGAAACTCTTAGAAAAATCAAGTTATAGCAGTTTAAAGATCGATATCAACTTATGTTTTTCATCCATATTACATTATATTATTATGACTCAGTTATTATTTTTACTCTTGAAAACTCTTTACTTAGGATAATTAATTACTAAACACATTGAAACTTAAGTTGTTCCCTGAGAAAATTGAAGATGAATATTGAGTGGAGGATGCAACCCTCATTTGTTAAAACATTGGTACCTACCATATTTAAGTATTTACATTTTGTGATGATTAAATGGTAAGGGCCGGTAAAAATATTGATTTTTCGGGCCGAATAGTTGCCCCAGTCGGCAGTCCGCCCCTTACAGTATTAGCTTATAGTTATAAAATATTTATAAGTAATTAATATTCATATTTGAATCTAACTATTCCATAATAATCATAGCGGAAAATAGGGCCTGACTCATTGTAAAATGACGCCACTAAGGTATGTACCAACCGTAATTAACTAGCTTCTCCACGACTTTTTGCTATAAAATGAGGCTATTTTTGCCACAGACACATGTGAATTGTATCGAGATAAAAATGTGGATGGAAATTAGCTTGCAAAGGATTAAAGGAAGCGATCTGTTTTTTTTTTGCGCTTCAGTTATAATATTAAATTCTACAAAACGTTTGCCCCCCCTTCTATTAAGAACTGCAATTACTCCACTGTGGATCGGTCCACCTTGACTAAGTTATTAATAGGTACCGAATACCGAAAAGGAAAATATGATCAAATAGTAGGTATAGTGATACAATAGATTATAGAAGTATAGAACAATGATACACCATAACGGCATAGTACGGTTATTAATAGTTATTACTTATTAATATTTATCACGGACTAAGATATATTATATATACCTATCGACATATCGTTAATCGTGTTCCATAGACATTACTACATTAGTGCCTAGTGGTAGGACATGCACTGAGGTGCATAATAATAATATTGTGTCTACGTTTACGGCATCTGGAAATAATAAAATCATCGGTTAATTACTTATTAGTTATTATCAACTGTTTTATTTTTAAAACACAGTTTTATAATATGCATAGATATTGTATTTCGAAGATAGTTAGATAACGGTAAACACTAAACAGCGATGGTAAAATACTAATTTTAATTCATAAATATGTGTAAATTATTTTATAGGTACTATTAATTTGATTAAAATGTTATCAGTCATAAATATGTAATGTTAAATTCAGCTATTATTCAACGAATAATAAAATATAATTAATTATTATTTTTGCTACCGACACTGCTACTACTTCAGACATTGAGGTAGGTAGCTGCGGCCTGCGGTAACTATACATAGTATTCTAGCACGCCAGTACGCCACTGATCCTGAGTTCAACGGAGGTGTAAATATCAACACTGTCCCTTTACACACGCCACTGATTATTGTTAATACATTATTACACTTGATGCCTGATGCACATTCAACGTTTTTATGTGTCTGCAGGTGAGTTGTGAAAGTCCGCTGGCAGGCTGTCCTCTCGAAGATCGGGATAAAGTATAAATATACGATTTGTGTAATTTTCTGTATGAATAGTTTAAAATAAGAAGAATTGTTACAACAGTTACCTACCTATGTAGATTTCGGGTTAATCGAGAAAAAATTCTTTGAACAATTCTATATTATAAAGGTGCGTATACTCTTACAATTATTCAGCAATAAGTACATCCCGATGGTTTTAGAACTTTCTATTACTAACGTAATATGATGCATTACCAGTAGAAGCCAAATGTGGGATGCGAGACGCATAGGTACCTATATCCAGTCTTTATATACCACTGGCCCTGGCTACTATTATTATTGTTCATTAAGTAATAAATAATACCCTTAATATTACTATAGGTGATACTATTCCTCGTAGGATTTAAAGGAATTATTCTAATATTGGTTTGGAAGTAGAAACAATAAATGAGAATTTTTGAATTTCTATTATTTCTATTTATGATGTATGTCCTTCAGTAATATTTTAAACAATGAATAACCAATAGATACTGGCAATACTTACTTAAAATGTGAAATTAATATGTTATCATAACTCTAAAAGTAAATAACATACCTAATTATAATAATTATTTCATGTTTGCAGCAGAAATGTCTGTACTTCAATATCGAGAGAACAGTGATTTTGATGAAGCATTTAAAAATTTATTACAACCTATTGAATCAATTACAAAAATAGACTCATGTGAAATTCTTCAATATGATCTTATTAAGGTAATAATAAACCTCAATGCAAAAAAAAAAATAACATGTTATATTATTTGTAATGAATATTTTATATTAGGAACTGGATTCGTATAAAAATCACTTGAAAAAATCTCCAAACGGTATTTCCTCAGTCTTCGTAGAAGCTGCTATAATCCTTCAAAACACTTCACTTATTTATCAAAAAAAGGTTGATGTGACAATCAATGCCATGATGAATCTTATTGGGAAATTCCGATCTTAGTGAGTTATAATGTGACTTTTTTTTATATTGTCTGGTCTTATGATCTAACCAAGTTTAAAGAACAGAAAATAAATTTCCCTATGATTTTAGAATTTTCCATTTGGCGTTAACTTATGAGATATTGGGTACACTAATCAAAGTACAAATCTATTTTTAATTCAATTGTTCCACATTTTCTTTTATTGATATCAATAACTGATATTTTACTGTCCATTTTCTTTTAAGACGAGTTTTTCCCAATTTTAATTTGTCATCTATTTTTAGGGATACCCATTAGACCTCAGCAAATAAGCTTTTCAATATTTGACATTTCTTACTTTTTCCCTTAGTTATTTAGTTTTGTAGTTGGATTCGTTAGTTAAATATTTTAAAATAAAACTTCCGATGTGTAAATTTGATATCAATATATCAATAATAATAATGTTGTACTAATATTATGATTTAGTTTTAAAAGTAAATAATACTAAAATATATTTGTTTGATATAACAGTAAATTAAATGAAAGTATTGATCCAGATTATACAGAGAAGATGGTAGGAAATAAAAAAAAAAAAATAAGTAAAAAATTAAAATGTTATTCTTTTTTTGGACCAATTGAAGGTCACATCGTTGGAACATGTAAGTTGCTATACTATGGTATATTACTGTTAAATTACTGTCAATAAATAATATGTAACTTGCATTATACAGTGAAGAATTTTGACTGCAAACAAATAAATTTGAGGAAAAAACCACTTGTAACAAAAATTGTATTGAACACTAATATAAAAGTAGATAATAAGTACAGTAAATTATTACCCTATATTTGTAATGCAAATAAAGAAAATATTGGAAAGAAATATGACTTTAAGTAAGAATAGTTATATTAATACAAATAAATAATTAATTATGTGACTATACTATTTTTACTAACAACATTTATTTTTTCAAGGATAAATTTTCCATTGGATTGTGATTTGGCTGTAAATGAAGAATTTTATTGTCCCATAGAAGAAAATTCAAAATCTAAAAGTCCTATCAGTTATCGAAAGAACATTAACTCAGTATAAATTCATAATTATTAATATATATTTTAAATAAACTAGGAATTATTTTAACATGTCATAATCATAATAATATTTTTAATAATTTAGTTACCAATGAATTTATTGGATGTTGATGAAATTTTTCCAAGTGCTCCCAACTCAGTAATTATTGATCAGAATGTTTTCAATGAAGTTTTCGTTACTAACGAAACTTTGCAGAAGTAAATATAAAGGACTTGAACTTACACTTACACCTTTGTAATGATTCATCGTGCTTGTACATCTATAATACTTATTATTTTATAGTCCAATACATATGTCAAATGTTAGTCAAATAACTCAAAATGATGATTATGATGATGATCCAAGAGCTCAGGTTTTAAATGCCAAGCGTTATAATTATACAGATAAGCCTTATGTGAAAAAAAAGGACCCTAAAAAAGAAGTAAGCCAGCATTTACCATACTGATAAATTTTGCAGAATCTAGGACATTCATTCTTCAAAAGTAACTAATATTTATATTGGTTCGCTTATTTTCGATTATAATGAATTATTAATGATGGATAATTTAAAAATGTATAGCTACAGAGATGAAAACTAATTTTATTAAGTTGAGGATCTATTTAAGGTATTAAACTATTGGCTATTAAAATTCTAATTTTTGAATGTTAATAATAATATACATTTTAGCTACACTTTTTTTGCGTATAAACATTTTTAAAAATAACCAATTTGATAAAGCCGGCTTACAAAGTATTTACCAATTTACAATATTTTTCAATGGATAGTCAAAATTGAATCTGATTTTTAAGTTTTATTTGGAAATACAATTTTCTAGGCTGGAGAAATGTTGTCACCTATGCATATGAATACCGATTTCAATCTCTTAGTTGACAATGAGGAAGTGGAAGAAATATTGAGAATTGGTGGTATGTTTTAAACTATAGTATATTATATATTTATTAGGAAGTTTTTTTTTAATTTGTAAAATTTACATCTAATATTGCCAGCCCCATTTTTCTTTAGTTTGAGAAAGCAATATTTAAGTAAAATGTATTCATAATAACTCACCACCTTCTGTCCTTCTCATACCACAATAGGGTTTAAATATAGCAAACGATTGATAGTTTTATTATTTGTTGAATTTATTTAAGAATCAAATGAAAATGTCCAAACTTATCAAAGAAATGCAATAGATTTGCAGAACTATGAAAATAATAAAATGGAAACGGTAACTTGAATTCAGCACTCTGCAAAAGAAACTGTATTTTATTTCTAATTTATTATTTTAGATGAATGAACAATTAGAGATGCAAAATAGAGTTCAACAATGGCATGATAATCTTCGGCCAATTTTAGAAAAAGAAGAAAAAATGATTGAATTTGATGTACATGAATATGGAACGCGTATATTAAGCTGCTTTAAATCTATTGGGGAACAAAAATTGTTCAAAGATTTAGTTGGAGGGTTAGACAAAGTAGAAGTTGCTCGATATTATTTGTCTTTGTTAATGATGGTATTAATATTTTTTTTTTTTAGTTTATTCATTTAAATTAATATATTCTCATTAATATTAGATTAATACAAATAATTTTGAGGTATCAAATCATATTTCTGAAAATGATTTATTGGTAAAACTATTAAAAAAGGAGCGCCACCATGAAGAATTACAAGTAAATATTGGGAATCAAGTGAACCAAAATTCACAATAAATTAATTATACTGTACACATTTTTTTTTTTATTTAACTTAATCATAGGCTATGATATTAGTTTAAAATACCTAGTTAGTTACACTAATAGGTTCATATGTTTTATTCTTTGTCAGACAAAATTATTATAATTGAACAAAAATTAATTTTATAATTATAAATGTTAATCTATTTATCTTTAAATAAACCAAATATAATATAATAAGATATGGTATAATGTGTAATTTTATTAAATTAAATGTACAAAAACTAAAGAGTAATAAAACCTGTGGAAGTATATTATGTACATATCAGAAATCATGATAGTTCAACAAATAAACATAATTAGGTTGCAATATCCCGATACTGCAGTTTTAAGTTTATTACAAAATGATAAAATATAAAAAAAAAAAAAACATGAAATTTGAATTAAAAATATTTGCTGATTAGGTTAGGTTAGGTTTTCTAATTCTTCTTTAAGAGATATAACTGTGATATAATGTATTATTATTATTATTATGTTGAATGTGGTACGACTGTACCCACACACTCTCATGTACTGTCGCTGACACGCAGTTGACAATGATATAAGTTACAACGTAGTGTCGTCTTTAACTGTCATATCAATCTATATTTAATTACTAAAATGTGTTTATTATATTAAAATGTTGTGTCTGATGTCTGTATTTATACTAAAAAATAAAGTTCAGAATCTGTAATCAAACTATGTAAATTTTATTAAGTACAACTTGAATCCTTTATAAATACACAAATAAAACAATAACAATGGTTTGCAAATTGATTTTTTTTTCTGTAGCATATAAGAAGCGATTTTCTAGATATTAGTGATGTCCAGAGCAGCATCTAATTCATCAAATAAAAAAATGGATCTGACTGATAACTGTAAGCAAACATTTGCTTACAATATATAATTATTAAAATAAATACATTTTAGCTGTAAATTAATACAATTTTATCACACTGTATACAAGTTACCTGTGAATGGCAAATAACAAAGCAAATGCAGCGACAGTTTTTTCTCCTGATAAATTGGACATTGGTTAGAAACATTTTCCAGGCTCTTTTTTAACTGCTAATGTAACAATATAATATATCTATCAGGATTGTTGCATTAAAGTTTCACTCTATTTTACCCAACAAATAACATTTTATTGATGTTCATAGAAAAAAAAAAACTAAAATAATTGAAACTGACAATGACCGTAAGCAGCTCAAAAAAAAGTCACAATATTTTAAAAACATTATGGTGTATAGAAAATGAAAATATAAACATTCAGTACAATTTTCATGTATCTACAGTTTTTCGTTTTTGAATAAGAAGATAATAAAAAAGTCGCTACATGAGAAATCGGGTCAATAACCAATATTGTAAAAATATGAATTTCAAATGCTCATAAAAATTTAATGTGACTTGTAGACATTTTTTTTTTTTTTTTGGTAAGGTAGTCATACGTATGAAGAATTTGGTATTACGTTTTAAAATCTTAGATTTAAAAAGAAAAATGTTTATGAATTTCTAGCTCAAAATAATTTGCTAATTTTTGAGTTTTTTCTTATTTTGTCAATATATTAGATGCTTATAAAAAAAAACTGTGGCTAATAATTATTAATATCTTTCAAATATCATTGTAACAATGTAGTAGGAGCTTTGCATTAAATTGTCAAGCTTTTTTACCCAACAAATAATGTTTTATTGGCATTCATAGAAAAAAAACCTAAAAAAAGGTAGAAACTGAGTATATCCTTAAAAAAATCAAAACAAGTCAATATTTTGAAATAATTTTCATGTAGAGAAAAGGTTAGTATAAACATTCAATGAAAATTTCATGTATTTACGATCATTTGTTTTAGAGTTAGGTAAGTACACCAAAAGCCAAAATCAATTTTGCGTAAAAAATTCCCGTTTTCTTTAATGTTTATGTTGTTTTTCCAGCCGCTTTTGAAAACTATTGGGAATTTTAAATTTTGACTTCCCAAAAGTACCAACTAGATTCTAGCTAGGTTTCACCGGAAAAGTCGATGTTTACGCGTACCTAAATTTGTTTTCATATTATTACTATTTTACATTTACTTTTAGATTCTGAGCGGAGCGATGAATGTATTGGTTTTACAATGATGTATGTTTTAGATTCTGAGCGGAGCGATGAATGTATTGGTTTTACAATGATGTATGTTTTTTTTTATATTTTTATATTTTTGTGTCTGTCATCACGTTTTGGGACAGTAAAAGTGCTTCGATTTTCTTCAATAGTACCTTTTCTGATAGGAAAGTGAATCTAGTTGGTACTTTGGGGGGTCAAAACTAAACATTTTCCAGTAGTTTTCACAAGCGCCGGGAAAAACAACATAAAAATTAAGGAAAAACGGGAATTTTTACGCAAAATCGATTTTCCAAAAAATCGAATTTGGTTTTTGGTGTAACTTTAAAACAAATGACCGTAGATACATGAAATTTTCACTGGTTGTTTATATTTGCATTTTCTATACACGATAACATTTTCAAAATATTTTGATTTATTTGGAACTGTTTAGGGACATTTTCATTTTTAATTTTTTTTTAGTTTTTTTTCTAGAAATATCAATAAAATTTTATTTGTTGGTTGCGAAAGCTTGAAAATTTAATAGAAGGCTCCTAATATGTTGTTTCAAAGGCAGATGAAAAATATTAAAAATCCTTAGTCACAATTTTTTTTTATAAGCATTTAAAGTTCAAAAATTGACAAAATATGGAAAAATCACGAAAATTAGCAAATTATTTTGAGTTAAGAATTCGTAAAAATTTTTCTTTTTAAATCTAAGATTTGAAAATGAAACACAAGATTCCTTATAAGATTATCTACCTTTATCAATAAAAAAATCTCTACCGGACAGTCAAATTAAATTTTTATGAGCGTTTGAAATTCAAATTTTTACAACATTGGATTTTCACTCGATTTCTCATGTAGTGATTTCCTTATTTTGTTGTAATTCAAAAACGAATAACTGTAGATACATGAAAATTTCACTGAATGTTTATATTAGCATTTCCTATACACCATACAATTTTGAAAAGATTTTGACTCTTTTTGAGCTGTTTACGGACATTTTCAGTTTTCAATTTTTTTAGTTTTTTTTTTTATAATTGTCAATAAAATTTTATTTGGTGGGCCAAAAAGTCTGAAAATTTAATACAAGGCTCCTGGTATATTGTTACAATAGCAGTTGAAAAATATTAAAAATACATAGGCACAGTTTTTTTTTATAACCATTTAAAGATCAAATTTTGACAAAATTTATCAAAATCTCGAAAATTATCAAACATTGTAATTAATAAATTATAAAATGTTCAGTTTTTATAACTAAGAGTTGAAAATTTAAAACAAAGATTCTCTTAAATAATTCATACTGTAACCAAAAAATCTAAAAAATATATAAACACACTTATTTTTTACAGACATTTTAATTTCAAATTTAGACAAAATTTCATATTTAAACCAAGAATTACGATTTTAGTTATTTTGTTGTGATTGAATAATACTATTCGTGGGTACTTGAAACTTCTAAAGTGTACTATTATATATCTATGATAGTATCACGGTTTTTGTTGATGTATAACGCGTTATAAGTATCTAATGGATATTGTGATATGATTAATTTGGAATTTATTATAGGTACCTATTATAGGTCAATTTTTTGTTTAATACCATAGATATGTATATAATATGCCTTATACATAGACTGACATACCATCACCGCTCAGAATCGTTTTTCTTATACAATGATATTATATCATTGAATTCAAATTTAATACCATCCATTATACAGTGACCCACTTGTAACCTACTGTACAGCAGAGCGACACCCACTTGCCCACGTTTTTTTTTATATTTTTATATTTTTATATTTTTATATTTTTATATTTTTGTGTCTGTCATCACGTTTTGGGACAGTAAAAGTGCTTCGATTTTCTTCAATAGTACCTTTTCTGATAGGAAAGTGAATCTAGTTGGTACTTTGGGGGGTCAAAACTAAACATTTTCCAGTAGTTTTCACAAGCGCCGGGAAAAACAACATAAAAATTAAGGAAAAACGGGAATTTTTACGCAAAATCGATTTTCCAAAAAATCGAATTTGGTTTTTGGTGTAACTTTAAAACAAATGACCGTAGATACATGAAATTTTCACTGGTTGTTTATATTTGCATTTTCTATACACGATAACATTTTCAAAATATTTTGATTTATTTGGAACTGTTTAGGGACATTTTCATTTTTCATTTTTTTTTAGTTTTTTTTCTAGAAATATCAATAAAATTTTATTTGTTGGTTGCGAAAGCTTGAAAATTTAATAGAAGGCTCCTAATATGTTGTTTCAAAGGCAGATGAAAAATATTAAAAATCCTTAGTCACTATTTTTTTTTATAAGCATTTAAAGTTCAAAAATTGACAAAATATGGAAAAATCACGAAAATTAGCAAATTATTTTGAGTTAAGAATTCGTAAAAATTTTTCTTTTTAAATCTAAGATTTGAAAATGAAACACAAGATTCCTTATAAGATTATCTACCTTTATCAATAAAAAAATCTCTACCGGACAGTCAAATTAAATTTTATGAGCGTTTGAAATTCAAATTTTTACAACATTGGATATTCACTCGATTTCTCATGTAGCGATTTCCTTATTTTGTTGTAATTCAAAAACGAATAACTGTAGATACATGAAAATTTCACTGAATGTTTATATTAGCATTTCATATACACCATACAATTTTGAAAATATTTTGACTCTTTTTGAGCTGTTTATGGACATTTACAGCTTTCAATTTTTTTTAGTTTTTTTTTCTATAAATATCAATAAAGTTTTATCTGTTGGGCCAAAAAGTGTAAAAATTTAATACAAGGCTCCTGATATATTGTTACAATATCAGTTGAAAAATATTAAAAATACATAGGCACGATTTTTTTTTATAAGCATTTAAAGTTGGAATTTTGACAAAATTTATCAAAATCTCGAAAATTATCA